GTACATGGACCCTCTGGGTAAGTATATTAAGAGTTTCAATCAGGAAAGACCGTGGGCGCTGAGGCAGCGGCTGCTTTCAACAGCTCTGCTGGCGTGGCCTTCGAAAGGGCGGAGGGTGGGCCACAACTTGGGGCTTGAGGTCAGGGTTTGGGCTTAAGGTAGGGGGATGGCTGAGGAGTTTCCACCCCCAATTGTCCAAAACATTCCTCCCAATGCTGGAGATGCTTTTCTTGAGCTCGAGTCGTCCCTCCTTACTTTTGTCTTCCCTCCCTCTGAAAGTGGAGTATACGGACCCGCCCAGGCTGGAAACCAAACTTAAGGGGTATCGGGACCACGGTTAACAGTCCTTTGTCTGAAGATTCTCCAAGCTTGGAGCATGACATCCTCTGGTTTAAGGAACAGGGACACAGAAGGCAACCACTCCTTTTATCTCCTCCTGAATTCGCTAAGGCACACTAGCAGTCCAACTTCCCATTTGTATGCTTCTGAAGAGATACGCTTCAAAACGCCCGAGCCCTGCAAATATATGGACCTGAAACTCTGCAAGTGGTGGCTTAAGACCATACACCCTCAACCTCCCCCAAAACACATCCACCAGAACCAGCTACATGCAACACACCTTTGAAGCCACAAACACTTAATGTGGTGGTTTCTCAAAATTACCCGTGCAAGACCCTCAGGAAGGACCCCATAGTCCCTGCATGATCCCCACATATCGCCTATGGTTCCCTAGGGCCCTTCCGCTTTAAGAAACCCCCGTTTAGAAAATCTCTTGTCCCTCGAGATGACACACCTTCCCCCAACATAATCCCTTCCTACCTCATGCAGCCATCCCTTCAAAGACTGCAGTCTTCATAGGCAGGTTTTCGTCGATTTATATTAGTTTGGGTGAGGGTAGAGACTGCCCACCCAGAAGAGGAGATAAACATGTGCCAATATTTCTGGGCCACTCTCGCACATCTTATATGAAAGCGAGGGGTGCGTCTTAATAGGCATTCTCCAATGCTCCGAAGCAAGTCCCGAAACATGACACGAATGAGTAGGCCATGGCATGCAGCTGTTAGAGGTGGAACAATACAAAATCCTAAACCCTAAGCCGTGCACCGCGTACACCCTTGGATTGGTCTACTTCAAAGAGGTTTGCCTGGGACAAGGGACTACTATGTAGTATATTGGGGCTATACAGGGATAAGGGAAAAGAAAATGGAAACTATGTAGATTTTAGGGGTTATATTTTGGGGTTATATGGGGATATTGGGGTTGAGACCTCTGACTCAATCAACCCTAAACCCTAAACCGCCTAGCACGCCCAGAGCCCCACGGATCGAGTTCAGGCTTCAACCCGCAGACCATGCTCCCATTGAAGGCAGACGCACAACCCCCAACCGTAAACCTTGAAGGTTGTAAACCCTATAATCCCCCTTAAGTAGATAGAATATGGCTTTGTGTCTATTATAATAAAATCCCCATATACTCCATATTCTATCTACTTAATGGGGACTATACATGGATGGCTAAGGGGCCTAGCATACTTCCAAGTATGCCAGAAAACTGACATCGCATACACTCGATCAAAATATAAGCAGCTTGAAGTAACAAAACGGGCGGTAGAGAAAGCAAAGCTCGCGATTACTTTTGGAAACCCTAATGATTCTTCTTGGCATGGAAACGTCCCGTACACTGTAAAGCACAGGCGGTAAACCGCACATGAACCCTGGACTAAAATTGTAGTATATCCCTTAATAGGTCCTGCCCAAAACCCTACATAGTCTCCTTTAGGTCCCCCCCAACCTAAATTTAGTCTGTAGCTCACATCAATCTTCACCTCCTCCTCGGAAGCAGCTGCAGCGCACGAGGCTTCAGGTGGTGCTGTCGATGGCTCCTTTGCCCCGGTGATTTAGGAGTCACGGTTTTAGGGTTGAAGGTGCGAGAGTTTGGGATTTAAAGTGTGAAGCGCTTCAGCATCACACGCATGGGATACGGCGCATCACAGAAGTATTCGCTCGCACTTTTTGGGCAACTTGTTCCTGGTCCTCACGCACCCGAGCACGACAGTTAATGTATACTAAGACATTCCCAAACTCAATCCGTGTTGTCAATGTACAGTACATCTGCAAATAAATTTCCGTCTCCATGCCACTACACAGCACGTAGACGCAAGAGGCAAACAGGTGTCTCTAAGTAATTCAAGCTAGGCAGCAATGGCCAGGCTGGAAATCAAAGTTCCGCGTGAGGCGCTCCGGGAGCACAAATCTTCGAAGGCACCATGGCGACACCAACACACGGCTGGGACTTAAAAAAAGGTCACAATGTAGTCAGTGAACCTTTTAGGTCACTTTGACTTTTGATCGGGGATTCTTTGCAGGAGAAAAACCCGATGTTATAAAAGTTGAGGACTTACTGTCAACTTCACACCCACAGGGTCTCAGTGACAGTTTGAATCTGAGCCTTTGGCTCAGCAGCCTTCTGCTCAGCAGCCTTCTGCTCAGCAGTCTCCTCCTCATTGCCAGCACGCTGCTTGCCGACTTTGCCATTTCCGCCTTGCAGGAAATAGGTCAGATTGCTTAGTTTAGCCTTACGAGCGATTATGGGTTGAACATCGTTTGATTGCGATTTACGACTTTATCATGCACGAGCCTGGCTTGAGCTCTGGGCTTCCATGACTTCCTTGCGACTCATTGCGTTCATAGGACTGGAGCTGATCCACGATCCAACTTGATTGCCTTTGCTGGCCCGAAGTGTCAGGCCAGCGCACGCGATGATCCGCACCCATCTTGAGCATCGCCAACGTGAAGCCTCCTTTGGAGATCATGTTCAAGATTGCAAAGCCCACGGCGTTGCTCTTCGCGTCCCCCAAGAGCCCCAAGCCCTCAGCCGAGATCAGCCACCAGCATGGGAAAGCTGGCCAAGTGAACCACACAGTGCACCTTGGCTATGCAAGCCCCTTAAAGCATCAACGTCCCTGAGCGCCTGAACTTGACTGCAGCCTAGGCACAGCAACCGCAAGTAGTGGTAGGGCAGGTCCTGGTGTGGCCTGCAGCCTCCCGCACAGAAGTAGGTGAGGACAAGGAAGGGCATCTGGATCAGACATAAAAACCCCAGGCAGGAAGCTGTGATCCCAATGATGATTCCCTTGGTGGTCACAACAAGAGAGGATGGTTCCCAGGTAGACAGGAAGAGCTCCCACGAAGCATCTTCAAACAAGAAGCCATCGTGCAAAGAGCCGACCCATCCACAAATCAGGAAGGCGTGCGTGAAAAGGACCACAAAAACCACGTTCGTCTTGTAGAAAGGGACGTAGGGGGCAAGGAGGACCACTAGCTCGGCTTGCATCAAGGAGCAGGTGAAGGCGTAGCCCAGGTAGCGAAGGCCATTGACATTGCCGAAGTGCAGCCAGCGAAACACGGAAAAGAACGCGGCAAGAGCCTGAGCGATGCACATGGCGATGTTCAGGTTCCTGCAGTAAGCGATCCGTGCTGAGCAAGGCTTCTTCGGCATGTCTGGCCATGTTTTCACCAACCTCCACCATTCCTTTGTTGCAGGCGACACATAATCGCGAAACATCAGCCACACTGCGTTGATCGGCTTCTTCACATCACTCCGGACTGTAATGCGAAGGGCCAGGTAAGTGAAAAAGAAGCCGAGGATGATGCTGGTGAGGCTCTCGATCGCGAAGGCCGGGTAGAGGGGCCCGCACGCACGGAACAGCTCAAAGTCGTTCAGTTCTGGATGGGGGAGGTTTGGGGAGGTGGGTGAGAATGGGGTAAGAGGTGCGTATGGAGATTACCATAACAAGTGCCATCAAACTAGATCAGGCTTGGACTGCAAACTACTACTAGCAATTGCAAGAAATCATTGAGAAAGGGACTTGTCTATGTCACATTCCAGAAAGATGCAGACCCTAAACCCCCAAACCTGAACTAAACCCATCCACACCTCCAAAGACCACCATGGCCGACGAGACGCGTTACTGGGCTCTACTTGGCTGCAAGAAGAGGCTCAGGGCTTGAGCTCGTTGGCGGCATGTTTTATGCGCCGGGGGGAGGGGGGGGGGGGGTTTGCCTGAAGTGTGGCCCCAGTTGGGATGTCCTGTTTGAAGGGCTCCATAAATTCCCTCTCAGACATGAGCTATAGTCTAAACTCCTAGTATGTCGCTCCAAAACCTCCATACAAGTCCCATATATGATATAGAATCACCTGTACAACCCTCTTTACGGAGTTTAGACTGCAGCTTCCATGTCTTGGAGCCTTTCCAATCGCGTGAAAGAGGCAGCCACTCCGTTCTGGCTGCCGGGTGCTACTGGAACTTGGGTGCCTTGTCTATGCTACAAAAACGGTTCCAAGAGCTGGGACCTTTCAATGTGTTTGAACACGGAGCGATCCCGTAGGGTTTGGACATATTAGAATGATTCACTGACCGGAAAGAGGCGTAGGTGGGGTAATGGCCCATATTAACTTTAGTCTGAATTTCATGCCATTCCGAGGCTAGAAACTGCCAAGATGCCAGACAGTTGTGCTACGGGCTTTCAGTTTTGAAGGTGCGAGGAAGTTCATGGGATTTAGGAAAATGATCGTACTTATGGCTGCTTGTACGCCATATTGAGCTGGTAAGAAGGATGATAAGAACGTAGGGTTCTATGAGCCCAGTTAAAAGTACTTACCAAGTCCCAAGACCCTCCGAGTTTCGACTGACATTAACATTTCCGAAACTTTGACGCGCGCCGGGTGGCTAAAAAAACACATTATATACCCGTTACCCCGGTGCCTTATCTAGGCTCGCAGAAAGCTTGCCGAAAGACTGGGCAAAAGCTGAAGTAAACCACTTTCAACTTCAAAAGAACTCCTGCGCGGGGCAGTCAACTGCCTCGAGGATCGAACTTGCTTTGATTTGAGAGGGGTTCATGGCGTTGGTCTCCTTGGGGTTGGAGCCAAAGGCTCTATGTAGAAAGGAATATGAATGGTTGTCAAAATTATGGTCCCTTTTTGGGTCCCTATTATAATATGGCCCCTAATATTTAGGGTACCCAAAAAAGGACCATAATTTTGACAACCACCCATATGGTGTAGGCTTCAGGGTTCAGAGTCTAAGGTTTAGGGTTTTAGGTTCTCGGATCAAGCTGCAGGGGTTAGCATGTAATGTACACCCAAACGGAGCAACACGGTTTAGGGGCCTGTGGCTTAGGACTCAAGTTGCTGTTCTGTGCTCCTACAGGTTATTGTGGCAAAAACATGGCACCCGCAGTGTGCATGTTGTTGGCTAAGCATACTTCTCCGGTGGGCTCAAAACGTTGTCCCTGCCTCCTGCGATCCATCCGACCCTTGCTCTGGAGATTCTGCGGAACTCGCAGCCTGACTACGTTCATTAAAGCCATGGGAC